ATCCGTCATGACCACTCTTTTGGACTCTCCCTTTGGCTTCTGGTATACCTGATTCCCTCATTAAAGTCCTGTTCTCCCGTATTCCGGGGTCCGCCTCTTCTCTGTTTGCCTGGTTTTACACCAAGGCATTCCCAGGCCAGCTGAAAGAAATGATTTCTCCAGCATGTCCTGGGTTTGCCCTGGGGACTCCTCCCAGTTGGAACATGCTGGAAATACCTCCCTATGGAGCCGTTCAGGAGGTATCCTAGGCAGGTACGCAAACCACCACAACTGGCTCCTTTTGATGTGGAGGAGCAGCGGCTCTACTTTGAGCCCCTCCTGCATATCTGAGCCGCATACTCCTGGAGCCCCCCCCTATAGGACCCCAAAATGACATGGTTGTAGGTTCTATCCAAGTCCAGAAAACTCATGTAAACTGGTTGGGTGAACTCCGAAGAACCCTCCAGTATCCTTCTGAGGATGGTGAGGTGTTCTGCAACCAGGACAGAATTCGGATTGTTCCTCATGGACCAAAGGACGGACCCTCCTTTCCAATACCCCAGCATAGATCTTCCCAGGGAGGCTGAGGACTATGATCCCCCACATGCTCCGTTCCCCTTTCTTAAAGACTGAGACCACCAGTCTGCCAATCCAAAGGCACTATTCCCAAATGTCCACACAGTTTTGAAGAGGTGTGTTAGTCAAGACAGCCCAACAACATTATGCGCTTTAAAGAAGTCAGGGCAAATCTCATCCATCTTCAGAGCCCAACCACTGAGTAGTTGTTGACTACCTCAGTGACCTCTCCCCTTGAGGTCAGCAATTCCTCATATCAGCAAGTCCTCTAGAGTCCAGTGGCAGCGTGCATCACCGCTGCATCCGACGCTTTGCATTGCACTTGGTGATGTAAGGCTTGGATGCAGCAGTTTGGCCATGGAAACCCATTCCATGAAGTTCTCTACACACCATTCTTGAGCTAATCTGAAGACCACATGAGGTTTGGAGGTCTGTAGCTATTGACTCTGCAGACAGTTGGCGACTTCTGCATACTATGCATTTTATGTGGCCTACTACTTCGTAGCTGAGTTGCTGTTGTTCCCAATTGCTTCCACTTTGTTACAATACCACTAAGAGTTGACAGTGGAATAATTAGTATTGAGGAAATTTCACAAAGACTTATTGCACAGGTGGCATCCTACCACTATGCCATGCTTGAATTCACTGAGCTCCTGAGAGTGACCCATTCTTTCGCAAATGTTTGTAGAAGCATTCTGCATGCGTAGGTGCTTCATTTTATGCACATGTGGCTATGGAAGCAATTGGAACACCTGAATTCAGTGATTTTGAGGGTGTCCCAATACTTTTGCCAATATAGTGTCCTAGAATAGTACATATCCAAGAAGCACATTGGTCAAATTAACAAGACACATGCACCGGCCTCTGTGAGCAGTCTGTTCCTGTTGGGGTGATTATGAGCAGTACAACATGGAGCTTTTACTATAGACCAAAGTGAACTAGCATAAGGAGGTGGCAGGGAATGGTACCAGTATCTTGATGGCATTGCCATATTGGGAAAAACCAAAAGCTATCCAATGGCAGTTAGTGATGTTTTAATGTACTGTAATTTGGTCTATTTGAAACTCCACAGGTTTTGCCCCCATTTGAGGCACCAGTGTCGGTGGCCATCCTGTTCTCTGTGTAATGTATCTCTATGTTCCTAGTGTGTTTCCCTGCTCCCTGGGATACTGCGCAGCTCTGTGTGTTGAGTGAGTGGCTCAGAAGCTGACATCACTCCAGTCATGCGTTTCAGATGCCTTTTGTTTAGTTTATTGGATTTTATTTTATCTTTAGTGTTTGATATTGTTTATCTCAGTCTTTGCTTTGTGTCCATGTTTTGGGTTTATCGTGCCTGGTTTAATTCTGTTCTGTTTGTACTTATGTTCCAGGTATTTCTTAGTGTTAGCCCTCAGTGTTTTTCAATGTTTCCTAGTTTCTTGTGTGTTAATTGTAACTTATTCCACCTGTTTCTTGTTGGCCAAAGCTTGTCCTGATTAGTTGATTTGGTTATAGTCCACACCTGCCCCTAGATAGCCTTATTGTCTGCATGTATTTACTGTAAGTGGCTGTCCTCATCCTGTTCTTCAGTAAGTCATTTTGTTAGACATCTGAGCTGTGTTACTTATTGTTTTTAGCTTTGGTTGATCCCTAGTCCTGCTCTCAGTTTTTGCTCCGTTCCCTGGTATGTTTATTTTTGTGGTTCTTTAAAGTTCTTATTTCTCCTATTTAGTACTTGACCCCTTGTGGTCCCTTAATTTTGTGGTTTATCTCTTGGTGTTCAGTTCTTGTTAATAAATCACTTTTTCTTCTGAGCCTCCCCGTGGATCCTCACACTTTTTCCACCTTGGCCATGTCCTGCTGTAACAGAAATGTGACTTGAACCTCTCCTCCGTAAAAAATCTGATCAAATTTTAAAAAGCTGCTCCTTCATGTTGGCTTGTTGGCTAAGAGAAACATGTCCATATTTTTTTGATCCACTTTACTTGGTAAAAGTGAAGTTTGGATCAAAATCCATTTACGTTACGTTACTTCCAGCAGATTTTTATTCTTTCCCTGTATTTTAACATTTAGCCCATTT